TTCCCTCAGCACTCTGGGGTGGAGGTCATCAGGACCAGCTGATTTAAATACGTCCAGTCCCTCCAGAAGTTCCCTAACTAGATCCTCGCTGACCCTAGGCCTGGGTGCGCCTCCCCCGGGGCCTGAGGGGGTCCCAGCAGATGGGCTGGTCTGGTCCCTGCTCAGGAAAATGGAGGCAAAGAAATCGTTAAATAGATTAGCCTTGTCAGCTGATGCGACAACCAGGTTTCCTAGCATGTCTTGCAGAGGCCCCACGTTACCCAGTACCTTCTTTTTGCCCGCTGTGTATTTAAAAAAGGACTTCTTGTTGTCCTTGATCTGGGTAGCTAGTCCCAGTTCCATCTCCTCCTTGGCCTTCCTGACTGCCCCCCCTGCAGCCCTGAGCATCCCTGGTGATGGCCCCTCCCTTCCATTGGGTGTACGCCTCCCTGCAACTGTTGCACCTCCAGCACTTGCTCTATGGCCTGAATAGCCTGTGTAAGTAACTCAACATGGGCTATCACTGGTGGTTGCATCTCTGCTTACCCCGGGTCAGGATCTCTGTCCCGCTGATGCCGAAAGATTTCCTGACCAATGCACCACTGTGATAAGAGGGGCCTTGCGTGTTGCACTGCCTGCCAGGTGTGTAGCCCCTCCCTTCAACTCTCCTGCCACAACTTGATATTATGCTATCAAGACAGGGGGTTCAATGGAGATCTTCCTGGGAGGGCTTCCCTGGAAATGACAGTACTCACAATTTTGTTGCAATTGAACTCTGGTGGGTATAACCTACAGACTGATATATTTTTATGCCTCTGCTTGGGATTAGCCTGATTATAGGTCTGCTAATACCCTCTCACTATTCAAATCATCCTTGCTTACTCTTTTTAAACAATGGCATGTGTGCTTTCTTCTAATCCTCTGCATCTTGGTAAAAATTGGTGTTAATGGTCAAGGTGGGCACACAACCCGAGGTACCCCAAACTGTTAGTTAACTTTGAAAATTTGGACCTGGCTTTGAGAAAATGGATACACCATAAAATAAAAGTGCAAGTCATGGGACAGTGTCATTCTGTAATGCAAAAAGAAAAGAGGAATGCTAACATGTTCTTCATCTATTGAATGCACTAATATGGCTCAATTTAATATCTTGGCAGTCTCATTGCTGACCAAAGGAGATCTGCCTGCACAGTTGGTACGATGATGGCCTTCCTAGATAGCTAACTAAGACAGTGGGCATATCTACACATGCACTTTAATGTGAAGTAGACTATTTTACTGTGCATTAAAGTATCATGTAAAAAAATATGACATGGTAATACACACTAAAATAGCCTACTGTGCATTAAGCACCTCTAAAACAGCATTCAAATGCACTGCTGTGAATTAGCGCAGGATAATGCACATTAATTTAGTATCTTGCATTAGGGGAGGTACAAAATTTAATGCACTTTAGAAAAGGTGCATTAATGCACACGTAGATGCATCACACTTCGTGTTGTGGTTGTATCAGAATTGGCAGAGCCATCTTGGTTTATTTAAAGCTATACAAGTGATCACAAGGAGGGTTCTCAAAGGAACTCTGACCTCTACAAGTTTACAAGCGTATTTATACTTTAGACAGCGAGAAAAGATGCAGGGTTCGGACAAAGCAACCTTGAGAGAAACAGAAAAACGTTGATCATTCGTTTGAGACACATAAGCAATTTACTTACTCAGGAAAAAAACACTGTGTTTTGGGAACAGTTATCAGCTTCTGGGGGTTTTTTTGGTTCCTGGAAAGGAGGAGGTTAACATCTGCACACAGACAAAACAAGGCATGAAGGTTTTTCCTTATTTTAGAACATTTTAAAACACATAGGATCAGCATCAGCATCTTTTTCTCTTCTCTTTCTCTCTCTCCTTAGTAAAGTAAGGGGCCTGGTTAAACTTATTTCCACATTCCCCCCTTTTGGGCCTTTTTGGCCCAACATATTAGATATTTATAGCCATGAGCCTTTTAACTTCTAATTTCTCTCTCTCTTTAGCTTTTCGCTATTTTAACTTACATATCAAAAAAGTCAGTCCAATTAAGGGATAAAGCAATTATGGGCACCCCTGTCATTGTACTAGGAGGCAAGTGGGAACATACCCAACATTTGGAAACATTTAAATCCTTTGCATATTGATAAGATAATTGAAGAAAAGTGTTTTGATGAGTGTACCAGTGTGGGAGTGATCTTTTGGGCCTGTTTTGAAGTGTAGTCTGATTTACAAAGTTTCTTTTAGCTGGTGAGTCTTTAAGTTCATATAAGATGATCCAAAAGGAAAGACTGAGAAGTACCCAAGTCACAACTAACCAACCCCACCTCGGAAACCAGGAACTAGGTAGAGGCCTTTTTCCTTTCCTGAAGGGCATAGTGGTGTCGTTGGGGTACATTTTCTTTGTTCTGTAGTGTAAATCCTCCGCTCTGTAGTGGCAAATCCTCTTCGCCAGTAGGCACTTGGCTCACTACTGGTCTTGAGCTCTCTTGTTGGTAGGCGCTAGGCTCACTACCAGTCTGTAGAGGCT